TGTGAGGGGGGGGTTGAAATTAATTTTTGGCTTAATGAGGGGGGTTATGACTTAGTTTTGGGGCATATTTCACCCATTTCCCAGCCCCCCTCCAGGTAATTATTGCACAGTCCCTTACCTCAACACAGAATTGCCCCAATACCCCCCAACCCCCCTTCTTAATTTACCATGCATACTTTATTTAGTGGCGGAGCTCTCGCACGCGCAAAGCGCTCGCAGCTGAGCACCATGGGTAAGAAGATTTCGCTATCCATGCATCCAAGAAATTTTGCTTTTGACAAAATCGTCCGTAAAAATCGTTTGTACTTCCGTATCCCGGGCTCTGGTGTACAGTCACATTGAGGCGATATTTTTATTTAAGTTCAGTCCGGTGACCAGTTATGCGCAATCGCAAGCTCAGAGTAGTTCCCTCGAGATGGCTTCCCTTGTGGCCTTGGTTAATTGCATACAAAATTCGTCTTAATCAACTTGTCCTTTATCAAACGCACAGGTTGAAGATGTGGTCATCGTTGAAGATCTAACCAAGTGGCAAGAATTGGTAAATGAGCGTGATGCTCTCCAGTGGAAGTTAGATCACGCCAATGTAAGGTTTTATTTGTTGTTTGTTTGTTTGTTTTGTTTTGTTTTTTCCTTTCAGTCTATTTTATTATTATAAAGAATCCCTGATTTTTTTATTTTTTGTTATTTTAGCTTAAAGATCATTACTTAAGTAAACATCCAGAAAAAATCCTCTTTGTATCATTTTTATCACCGATTTTTTTTTTTTTGACAGGATAACCTGTGAAAGTAGACGTATTTCCGGTCGTCGCTTCTCTGCATCCGAAACTTACCCGTAACTTTTGAGGTGAAGAGAAGCGACGACCGGAGATACATCTACTTTAGTCGTATGCAGGGTAGCCAGGACGAAAAAATGACATTTAGCTTCTATTGACTATTTATCCACTTGTTTACTTCTTGTTGTAACTTTTGAAGTGACGACCGGAGATAGATCTGCGTTAGTCGCATGCAGGCTAGCCAGCAATAAAAAATGACATTTTTAGCTGCTGATTGACCGCTTATAACCGTTGATGAATTTGCCAGGAAGGATTTAACCACTTGTTTACTTCTTGTTGTAGGCTGTACACGAACAAACAGGAGAAAAGCCCACACACAGGAAGTTTATCTGTTGTGGAACAAAATTTGACTCCATCAGCCAGTATGGAAGAGAGCTTGAAGTAAGAACTTTAATGCCTAAGTTAACATACATTTCTTTCATCTTAACAAAGTAATAGATAATTGTGCTCAATGATCTGCTTTTTGGCGATAATACTCCGTTATAGAAAAGCGCTTGCGATATACCGTAACGTAAAACGTGGCTTAAAAGGTGGCTTCGCGGGAAGTCAGTAGAATCGCGTTCCTTTGCTTGATTTTCTTTATACTTCAGAATTAGCTACCAAGGGATAGGGTCTTCAAAGTGTTCGAAAAGTGTTTCGAAACCCTTCAGCATGATCTCCACCATAAATAATTTAATCGATGTCGTCCCATACAAGGTAATCCAAGACATACTGTTTCCGGGTTTTTTTTTTTTTTTTTCAATGGAACTTGGATTTTGGATGCTAATCGTTAGCGGGATTCCCGATTCCTTGAGCTGAATCCTGGATTCCGAAGCCCAGGACTGCTCTACCACTTTCGTTAGATCAATAATCTTTGACATGTTTTCCCTTCGCAGGCAGTACAAGCAAAACTAGACGAAGAGACGGAGAAGAAACACAACCTGTTTCCGTGCTGTTTTGTGGTTTTCCGTTCTCTTCGTGCATCAACTCTTGCGCTTCAAAGTGATTGGGATAACTCTCCCCTAGAAGTCGATGTTATACCAGCTACTGAACTGGCCAACGTGCTGTGGAACAACCTGAATATTGGCCTTTGGCAAAGGTGCTTTTATTTATACCTAGCATAAGTTCTATTCCCCCATCCGGTACCTTGAGAAAGAAAGTAAAGTAGAACCCTCTCATAAGCGACCAACCATAATGCGAAAACAGAGCAGGCGTTTTTTTTTAACCGAAACCTCAGAGTAGAGCTCCTGACTCGTACATCGATCGCGGAACAATTGAAAACCCAAGGGACCAGGGACGGTCAACGGGAACCTCTCCTTTGGAATCATTTTTTGACTCGCCTGTGGATGGATGGGACAACATTTATAACTTCATCTTTTGCACTGCAAAATACGCCTGCTTTGCAAACTAATGATTTAGTGGTTTCTGGTTGTGGTTTCTGGTTTCTGGTTGTGGTTTGTGGTTTGTGGTTCTGGTTTCTGTTGATTTAGTGGTTCTACGAGAGTTGAACTGCAGGAGGTCTTTTACGAGGAAAAGTGCAGACACATCTTTTTTGCGTGCACTTACTAAGTTACAATATTATGTAGTTCCGTGATCAGACCATTGTATCAGGGAGGCTTAGAAGAAGTCAAAAGTAATGGAATGTAATGAAAAAGCAGTGGAACTGAAACTATAAAAAAGTCACAAAAATAAGTGGTCGCGGTGCGGAGAGGAAGTCGATCGTTTACGATGTTCTAATTTTAGGGATTTAACTCGGAAAATTTTTCACTTAGTGTTTTGGATAGGTGGTCGCTTATTACGGGAGGTGGGATAAGCAGATAATACTCGGCTAAAGGGACCACATCCTTCATAAAAGGTTGACAGGAGGGCGTAACATTTCCTTTTGTACTTGGACATAAAATTATTTTTGCCGTCAGATTTTGCCCCAATGCATTTTAATTTAGTAGTAATTCTATCTTGCTATGTTAGGAAATTGCGCACGACTCTGATCTACGTCCTGGTGTTTTTGCTGGTGTTCTTTTGGACGGTGCCTGTAGCGTTTGCTTCAACGCTGGTCTCTTTACAAAACCTCACAAAAGTTGCTCCTTTTTTGAAACCAGGTGAGATTTTACTGTTTTACCAACGCTTGAATCCCAGGGTTACTCCCTATAATGGCGTATAGGGGAAGGTTTCGCCCCGCCCGAAAGGGATACCTTTTTGAGGCTTTAGGTGTCTAATAAAAGGATGAGGATTTCAGTGGGAAAAGTATATGAAAGGGTAGGAAAATCTGTCATTTTGGTCTGTAAAATGCCCTAAGGGGGATAACAGACGCCATTTTGTAGCTATGAGTAAGATAAGAAAACTTCCTGGTTTAGTGACTTTTGCATATTTAGAAGACCGTGCATTCACAGCAGTTAAAAGAGAAGCAAAGTTCTGAAAAAGGTATGTGAAAGGGGTAACATTTGTCGATAGAAGTTTATAAAAAAGTGATACCTTTCCTATCAAAAGAGGTATATAAAAGGGTAAGGGTTGAACCTCGGAGCTTTCTTGAGTTTTTCCCCGGGCTTGAATTTCGTTTTAACTTTTGGTGTCCTCTCACCCCGGCTTTGCATTTTCCAATTTCACCTGCAGTTTTAGAACTTAACGCTTTTGTCAAGGGAGCAATCGAGGCTTTTTATCCGGCTTGGCATTGTTGGTTTTCTTCGCTATTTTGCCTCTGGTAAGTTTTTACTTCATCTGATAGCGTCAATTTTTCGTCAGTACTTTGATAAAGGCACCGACGCAGCCTTTTTTTGTGTGTGTCATTACGTGACGACTCAAAGAATGGTTTCGTAGGAGACTATAATTTGACTGCTTTTTTTACATAGCTCAAAATCCCGCACAACTGATTCCTTTGTTCCGCAGCTCGTTCAGGCGGGCTATTCACAAACCAGAATGACATACAGTCAGTTCATTTTATCTCCATATATTTCTCTGTTTGTGTTTACATGATACCGAAACCACATTTCGTTCCCCACACAAGTCATTCTGGAATTCAATCCGAATGAAACCGTCGTTCTGGTACAAGATTTCATTCTGGTATCATGTAAACCGAGATCGAACTTCCTTCCGGATTGATTGTGTTTCTGATCTGGCGCAAAAACCCCGCGAGCAGGAACGCCTTTGACGGAGTCGTTCGATTTTATCATGTGAATGCGGTACAAACTTCACTCTGGAACAAACCTCATTTCGGAATGAAAGTCATTCCGGTATCATATAAACACCCCCTCAGTAAAAACAAATGTACTCGACAAGGGATTATAGTTTCTACTCTGAAACAAAGTTTCAGTTGAAAATTAACCAGGAAAAAAACGTAGACAATGTTATAATTAATAATTAATTTATTTGGAACTAGACGACTCCAACTCCGACTCTCTTTCGCGGGCCCATAAAGCCTGATGCTTTATTATTACCGGTATTAACATACAGCACGTCTGGTCTGCCTGTGATTAACCTGCGATACGGCGCTTTTCTTTTTCGTCTCCCAAACAAAAAGGAAGACGCAGATCGCCTGATCGCAGGTTAGCCTGTGGTGACAAAAGGAAAGTCAATTTTTTTGCGTATTACTACTATAAAAATAACATTTTGATCCTGTGATAGGTTCTGAGGCTTTTTAGCAAGCTTGAAGGAATTCCTACGCAAAGTAGAGTAGACCAATCCACGCTGGGAAAATTGTTCATTTTCATGGTAAATAACATTTATTTACATTTATTCAATTAGTTGTTGTCAGTGAGTGGTCAATGCTAAGTATAAACCTTATAACCACGGCAGCTACTACAAAATTCGTTTCTATAGCGCTATAAACTATAATTTACTATTTTTAAGACTTTCACACTATGCCGTAGGATACTAATTCTGAGCAACATTCGTTTTCTTTATTCCGACCTTCAAATTCGTCCCATTGCTTCCTAAGCCCTTTTTTTTCTTCACTGGGTCCTTTTTCAACATTTCAGTGTTGCGTAACATTAACTTATGAGAGTTTAATGGGGATTCAGCTATCGCTACTTAAGTCAGTAGTAGTCAAAAAAGTAGCAGAATTCGTATCGTGACGTTTTCTGGCGTTTGAGGCCGGTTCAGAGCGCCACAAAAAACACTGGTTCCTGGTTCAAAAGAGTTTCAATTTACGAGCTGTTTGTGTCTTTCTCCTCCTCCTCCTCCTTCTTCTCCTTTTTCTTCTTCCTTTTTGTATTTATTCATTGGCTTTACGTTCTTTCACAGCTTGTGAACAAGTTTCTGTTCATGACTTTAGTTGGATCAGCGCTCAATAAGCTGAAGGAGATGTTAGACAATCCAAGCCAGATTCCAACTTTCCTTGCTGAATCCCTCCCCTCACAGTCACTGTTTTTCATTTGCTACATCATGTTGGCAACACTGACTGGATATGCGCTGCAGCTACTGCGCATTGCACCGCTTATTATAGTGGCTATTAAGAGGAAATGGCTTGTCAAGACGGAGCGCGAGGAGAAAGCAGCCTGGAGACCACCACCTGTCCTTTATGACCGCGTAGTAAGTACAATGACCTGGGAAATAACTTCCTTAAGTTGCTAGGCAACTAGACTAGCCCCAGCCACAAATTGCTCGGCAACGTTTGCCCAACTTTTGCCTTTTGGAGCAACTTTTAATTTTTGGGGTAACTTGATTAAATTTTAAGCAACATAATTAAACAATCCTGTAATACTGTTTAGGCCATGTTATATATCCTTACTTAACAAATGCTATATAGGTTGGGATTGAGGAATCCCCCCGACTTGTCCCTTGACAATCTTGACGTGTAACGTCGAATCCAATTTCGACGAGGAATACTGGGAACTAGGTTTGATTTGGTTGCAGAGCAGGCAGGGGGTCGAGCAGGGGCTTAGCAGGGCAACCTCCTCCTCGACCGAGGGTTTTCTCCTACTCGTCCCTCGGAGCGAAAGAGACGAGAAGGGAAGGACCCTGAAAACGAGGTTGTAGCAGGGGTTGTATGAGGCCGTGCATGCATTGTCAGTAAGTTAACTAACGTTGTAATCTTATCTTAGTTCGCCAATCACCTGTTCATTTTGATTGTGGGTTTGTCGTACTCGGCGCTTGCACCCATCATCACTCCGTTTGTGGCGCTGTACTTTGGCTTTGGTTACGTTGTGTGGATGTATCAGACGATAAGTATATACATCCCAATATACAGCTGTGGTGGAATGATGTGGCCCATAACGTTTAACAGGTAAAACTTACAGTACATAGTATAACATTTTGTATTAAATTATGATTGGCTGAAAATTCATTCCTTATTATATTATACATTGTACTCAGTATGTGCCTTCTCATTGGCTAAGATCCTACAGACAATTTTGGAAATTCGGGCAACCTACAGATTCAGGTTAATGTTGGATGGCCTTGGAGGGGCGAAAAGAACTATAACTAATCGATCATCCAGTAACACAGTGTCAAGTCATGAAGCCGCAAACTAACATGTTTATCACCTGTGCATATTACTGCTAAATGTACAATTGATTAAAAAAACCTATTCTAAAAAGGACTCCGTCCAAGATCAGAAAAATGAAACGAAAATGGTTTTCCTTTGTTCTGCTCTTTTATAAAACTCTAAGTTAGCAAGTTTTACACCCTATTCATGTATATGTAGTGGCGCCAAAAAAACGTAGCAAATTAATATTTGAATCACGGGCAGGGTTTTGATTTGCGACGTGCATGTTGCTTTTTTCTTCGTTTTTGTTCCCTAATGCCCCTTTCTGCAGTCCAAGATACAAATTATATTTAAAAACCTAAACCGTTTTCCGCTTTATAGGATGATCATAGGAACAGCGGTGTTTCAGTTGTTGATGGTTGGAGTGGTCGCTTTGAAGGGATCTTTCGCAGCTTCATGTTTGGTACTTCCGCTTCCGGTGGTGACGGTCTTCTTCTATCTCTTCATTCTGCAGCATTATATAAGACCATCAGCCAACTTGTCGCTTAAAGCTGCGCACAGCCTGGAAAATCCTGCTGCTAACTTTTTGCAGGTTAGATGTTGAGAGAGAAAGACAGACGATCGTATCTTTTCTAGATCACCATGTTTTCTTGACAAGACGCGTATACTACGCGTTTATTGGGCTGCTATGGTCTAATATTTGCTTTGCTGAGTTTTAGCTCCTCCTAAACCAAGTATAAACTATTAAAAGCACTTGTTTCGGCTTTCAATGGATGGAAAATTCTTAGTCACGGTCGGCCCGCTGCAGGGGAAATAGGACACGTCAGTAACGCCTTCTAAGAGATCTGTCGGCCATGTTATCTTTTTTCGACACAGACACCACCCATGTTTTGATTGAGCCACAGGCAGCCCAATAACAAGCCAACTCGGGACCTTTAGAATAGACTACGGGTTCAGACGAGAGTGAGAAATGTGCCTCGTATATAATTGCTCACGAGCGGGGGAGGACAGGGGATAAGAGCTATTGAGCGAAATTTAAATAAAACAAAATAAGAATACAAATGGAACACAAACCCTGAAAGTTATAGCTAGACGCAATTTTATCAAAGACCTGGTAATAAGAAAATTTCCTGTTTTATACCGTTGTATTCTGGTTGAGTGATTTAAGTAAGAATGACACCTCTGTTTGCCTCTGACAGGACGTAATCAAGGGTTACATGAGAACCCAGGGAGTGCAGATTCTTCCAGAGCCAGAAGTGCCAACAAGCGAAGAAAGAGATGCGTCTGATCAGGCCTCTGATTTGGAAAAAAGTATTCCTCTAACTGCAGCTTCCGACGATGTGAAGTTGGACGTGTAACAAGCTAGTCTAAAACATCGTTATTTCTAACGTGTGATACACAACAATAAAGGGACGGAGGATTTTGTTGTGTTATCAGGAGACAAAACAGGCAAAGGCTGATAAATAATGCTGTAGACTAATAGGAGTAGAATTCATTGGGTAATATAATCCCGGCGAGTAGTTCTGGCCAGTTTTTAGTTTGAAGATACGAGCCCAGTTTCTCCAGTATTGTACAACACGAGGTCATGTTATCAATTAATTGTGCCAGTAACAAAGTGCGAGAAACTCAGTTGAGGATATTCAATGTGAGTTCATATTTCTTATCACATCTGCTTACCGCTCAACATGTCAAGTAAAGTAATAGCATCGCTTTAAACCTTTTTCATTTTACAAGTTATTTAAACCTTTAAATATAGTATAATTAAGTAGAAATTAAATATGACAGTTCATCTGAAATAATAGTTCATCTGATTAAAAGTCATAAGGTCAGCTAATTTTGTCTCTTATGCTTTCAAGTTCAAGCCTAGCGTTCAAATTCATTTCCTTGATTGTAATTCAGTGTTAAGCATGGGCTAGTTGGTAAAATTTTATTTCCATGAGTAACATTTGCTGGCTAAATTTCATTGGTTGTTTTTCAAGTGTCCAATTTGACCTGTCTGATTATACAGCAACTAATATTCGGACGGAACAAATCACATAGTTTTGATACTTAAATTAAACAGTAAGGGCTGTAAAGAACTATAACTGTTCTTGGCACATTTTACCCACTGTTGAGCAAGAAATGAAGGTCTGTAATTATTACAGGTGAACCGCGATTACCAGCCTCGCTTTTTAATATCAACTTGTTAGTGCAGAGTAAAGAAACAAAGGCACGGCCACAATTTGTTCTTGTACATGTGCATGACGCCTCGCGGTCTTATCATCGGATCCCAACAATTTTTGCGACTGTTTCTCCAAACTTAAGCCGATTTAAAAGTGAGGAACGTTCGCCTAAGAAGCCAGGATTAAAATCAGTCGTCTACTTTCAGAAATCAGATTCTGGGTTAGAGTAGGATGAAATAGTCCTTGGTTTGGACGGAGAAAACAACTTTGTCTACCAAGCAGTTTTATTAGTACTTTAGGGGATGGAGTATAGAGGAGCTTTGTAATAATTCATGGCCGTTTCTGAGATAGGCATATGATAAGGATATGAATCAGATTTAGACTTATCAAATTTACTTAAGCAATAGACAACACGTTCTATGGGTTTACCGACGTGGTAACCCACGCGGAATTTTGGAAGAACACAAGAAAACAGTGATTTACAAGCTTTTCGAGTGTTCTCCCAACATCCCAAGTGGGTCATCACGCCTGTAAACCCACAGAAAGTGTGGTCTATTGCTTTCATAAAATATGAGTTTATCGGCTCAATAAACCATAGCTTTTTAACCAATCAGAACACGCGTACTATGTTAGTTATTTTATAAAACGGAAGATTACAATAAGCATCACCTTTAACAAGTCAGAATGAGAAAATTTGGCCCTTTTTATAGGGTAAAAGATACGCGTGGATGGACCAAAGCGATTCCGCAATATGTATGGACCACAGCAATATTTTTTGAATAAGGGAGAGAAGGGTACATGTGATCGGAGACTTTTAAGTGGACAGGTTGTTTGCTGATTTGCATGGTTATTGTTTGTTGAAACAAAAGGCACTGTAGGGAGTTGTGTTTGTTTTTAAGAATTTTTGAAACAGTATTAACGGAGACCTGTAAACCGAGGCAATGCATATGCAAATGAATGATTTGACGAGTGCTGAGTCGGTAGTATTTAAAACTTATTTCTCTCACCGAGTTGTTGTGCAGTTTAGGATCAGAGGGACTTAAATCGATTGGTTTGTGTTTACCCCGAAAACAAAAATTCTCAAACAGTGTACAGTTTTTTTCCAGGAATTTCATCAATCCATTCATTAACGCAATTTGCTTTCCTAAACCAGGATTAAAAAAAAAAACAAAACTTAAATTATAAACGACGCCTTTAACTGAACAATCAGATTGTCTTACGAAGCTGCTAAAGGAAAACCTCTGGTTTTACTATGATCGTTGATCGCCGAACAAACAGCTCACAAAAGTGTAGTAATCTGAACTATAGTCGGCGACCGCAGCTATTGATATGGAAACTAGCTTTTTATACTTTGGTTAAGACTCAAGTCTACCTCAGCGAGTGCTATACCATTCGTTGAAAAGTTGTTTTGCAGTTAATCGTTACGATCGTTGAACTTTTTTTCTCATCGATCGTAGCGATCTTATATGAGGAATGAGTCTTTATCAGAACGTATCTTTTCCAGTGCAAGAACATCTTAAATTGTTTCAATTAAGCGGCAGGCTAGCAAGAAGGTTATTTTGTATTCCTTGATACTTCGTAGTCCCCCATTTCATCTCATTCAATTGTAAATTACTGAATAAACAATTCTCACCCAAAGAAAAAGAAACTATCCAATCAGTTTGATCTGATCTGATTTGATGACGTTAGACTTTCCTGATTGGCTGACACCTCCTCTATTGTTCTTTCTCTATATATTTGCGATACCACCCGGATGGTTTGGGCGGATCCGTAAACCACTGCACAGTAAACCTCTCAATACTTGTCACCTTTCAACACTTCATCCATATTCAATCAACTTCGATTCTCTTTTACAAATCCCGATAGTGAACCCTTGAATTCCAATGAAGCCTTCTCCCAGCCTGGCGAAGTAGTGCAGTCGATTACCGTCATTAACTCTCTCATGCTGAATGTTTCAAACAAGTAAAGCTATTCATCTGTTATATTGTACGTTCAGTGTTAATACCAGATCTTTGTGAGAAGTAAACTAGTGTTAACCTTGAGCGACAGCTAAGGGAATGAAGTGCTAAAAAAGAAATCGCTAAGGCAGTTAACACATTGTGTTTATGAAAGGTATCACACGGATGGACTGAAGCGCCGTGGTACTTGCAGTTTAAATCTTTGCATTTCTACATGACAAAACAGCAGAAAATGAAGACTTTTCGAGAGCATTGAGGGATTATTTCGAAAGCAGGGACAGTTGCTCGATTTCTCCAATTTACGCCTTGGTCGGCTCAAATTCTGATTGCTGCACATATGGATAACAATCGAAATCAATGGCAAAGAGCACCATACATATAATAACAACATGAAATATCAGAAAACAGTCCCACTCAACCAAGTTGTTATGACGATTTATCGAAACCGTCAGGGGTCTTTTAAGGCCCGGTTCAGACGCCGAACTTTTCAAGAGCCGAACGTAATACATTGAAATAAATACATGAAAAGCTCGACGTCTGAATCAGTTAGGAACGCCTGCTTCAATTTGGAACGGCTACGCCGTTCTTTTCGCCCAGCTCGGCCGGGAATTTCGCCTTTGGGTGAGTGACTTTGGAACGATTTTGATTCAGACGCCGAACTTTTTATGTACCGAACCTAATGCATAAATTGTTATAACGTATTTTGTAAGCAGTTTGAACGAAATGAGCATTTTTCGCCCTTTGAACTTAGTTCGGCTGCAATTAAGATCGGCGTCTGAATCAATTTAGCCGGTCTTAATAATTTGGATCGGCCTTAATTCGAATCAGGTTCGGCTCATGAAAAGTTCGGCGCCTCGACCGTGCTTAAGTTTCCAAATATTTGCCATAAAACATGCAGCGACAGGAGAAGCTGTAAAGGTAGTTCCCGTCGATTCTTGATTGCACAAAAATGTCCGACTAACAAGTCAGTACTGATTTGCTTAAACCGAAAGGAATTTATTTTACTACGGCTTCTAAGGAATGTATATTAATCCTTTTAAACAGATAACTGTCAAGAAATGACCTTTAATTTCACCTTTCTCCACGGTGTCTTTGTCTGTCCCAGTTATCTAGTTGATTTATTACCCTTGCAAGTTAGTGAAAGAACAAACTATAGTACTCCTTACGAACGCCATCTAATTACTCCCTTCTAGTCGCAAGCAGCACTGAACGTTTTAAAAGATCTTTTTTTCCCTCCACTACTATATTGTGGAATGACATAAGTTTTGACATACGTTGTCTGGTCTTGTGTCAAATTTATTGGTTCTTAAAAAAGCGTTTTTTCCTCTAACAATGTGCCTAGTCATAATTTAACATATGATTTTGCCACTGCTAGATTTAATGCAGTTTTCCATAATCGTTTGCGTTTCATGCTTAATGTTTGCTTAACTATAATTATCTGTTTAAAATGGGATGTACGGAGCCAGAACGCCCCGCATGTTTCAGCTTGTTTTTGTGGTTGACAACGAGACCGGTGAGGATTTTTTGTACAATGTCCACTTCATTCTAGCCTGCGTAGCAGGCGCTTGGAAGTAGCGGGCGAAAGAGAGAACGGGCGCGCGCGAGGGAGACACGCAAGGGGTGTCTCCTTCTCGCGCGCCCGTTTTTTCTTGTGCCCACTACTTCCAAGCGCCTGCTACGCAGGCTAACTTCATTCTGCCCCTAGAACTAATCTGCTCTCCTCTGCTGCTCGCATATTTGCTGACGGGTGGTTTTCTCTCAAAGCACAAATTTTATCAGTTTTTAGTTCTCTGTTTGGATCACCGTTACTGTCCCGGAGCAAACTAATGATTTATGTTTTCATGTCCAGTCTTTTATATCTTAATCGAAAAAATTTCATAAAAATACCATCTTCTTTGTCTTGCTGCCGCTTTTGACTTATTATTCGGATTACTATTAATATAATTTATTTAATTGTCACCGTGATCCCTGTCGATGAGTTTTTGTTACACTTGGGGCAAACTTCGCCAGTAAAATATGTTTAAATAATAATAATTAAAAAGAAACAGAGAAACAAAAAAGTAATGAGTGACATATTAGTACAACTTTGAAATGTAAATAGAGTCATGACTGCACGAAGTCTTATTATTCAATCGGTTATCCAATCCGTGTTCAATCACCAAAGGCTAAGTTGTTGACATGAAATAGAAAATGATAATAAAAGCTTAGCTTAAGCCTAAGCCTTTTTTGACCTTTTCAGATGACAAGCGACGTAACATGCTTGGAAACGTATAGAAATATAAAAACTGTACACTTTAGTGTAACCTTAATTAACTTAATTTGCAGGGATTTCTAGACTTTACCAACACTCGTATCTTACCGAAGACTTGCCTCGCACTAAGCTGAGATCAGCATCTACTTTCATACATTTTGCTTGGTAAATAGATTTCCGGCGGGCAGGGAGAATGGAAAAGTCTCGCATTTAGTACAGTACATGTATATCTGAATTCGTGTGTGTTCGATTCGATCAAATATTGTTGCATCACTTGCATGTGTATTCACGTGATTACAGGGACATTAGATGGAACACCAGGGCCTTCGTGACCACATACCATGCATAATATACTACGTAGAACAAAGGGGAATCCCAAGAATGTGGACAGATTGTAGGAAAACCTCGCTATATAGTTTATAGATTGCTCCTAACCACCCCACCAAGAATACTACGTCTTCGAGCTCGCTTTTGCTCGCCCGCAATGATTAGAAGACTTCTGTTGGAGGATATGTGTAAGCGGAACTAGTTTTCAATGGAAGGTATATAAAAAGGGTACCTTCTCTGTCAAAAATGGTATATTAAAAGGTAAACTAAGGGGGTGGGTCTCAGGGTGGAGCCTCCTCCCCATTCACCTCAAGGATCAGGCCAGAGACGAGGGCTTCTTTTCCTCCCAACCCGTTTCCCCTTCATTCTTCCCTTACCCTCCCGCCCCTTTCGACGCCTACCTCGTAGGCTACAGTCAATTAAAACTGTGGGCCCTAACCCCAGGCTATAGCGAGGTATTTAACTTAATAATGACCTGGAGCGGGTGTTAAAACACCACTAATTTCCTCGCCCTCGGGGTTAAGTGGTAACTTACGTACTGAAACAGGGAAAGGGGAATGGGGAATCGGACATAGGAAATTGAAAAATGGAAAGTAGTGGCCAGCGTTCATACCAATTCAAACCGATTTATTTGTCCATTATAAATTACATTTTTACAACTTCTAATAACTTGTTATCTGCTATTACAATGCAACATAATAGCAGGCGACCTTAGCAAGCTCTATTGAGCTCTAGGAAGATCCCCTTGGTACAATTAAGCCTAGTGAAAATAGTAGATGGATATCAAATCTAACAATAATAACAATGAGGAATTTGTAAGAAAATATTACCTATTTATTAATTAATAAACAACAACAACACACTTTTTTTGCATTCCCATTTATATAGATGGTATTGCATAGAAGAAAAATAAAGGATAATAACAGAAAAATACAGCAATGAATTACAAAATCAAGAATAAATAATAATTAGTTACAACATCCTGACTCTTGTTTCCTTTTCTTGAAAGATTCGAAAACAAAATAACCGATTTTTTTACAAGTAAAATGGTCTACGTTATTAAAAAGGAATAATATTTTATCTTGTTTATTTAGAGTATGAAAGATGGGATATTTCGAAATTATATCATTAAAAAACGTTTTCCTTATACACAAATAAGAATCACAGTAACGTAACAAAAATTTAAAAATCAAAAATCGGTAGTTGTTATTAAAACGGCGAAACGGTGAACAGCGTAACGAGGTTTATATTCCTAAATTATTATTATTTTCTTCTAATGAATTAATTTTAGCACCTGCCTTTTTTAAGTTGAATTAATGTAAAAAATATATATTGTTTATGGTAATCAGAAGCCCATCTGAGCTTCTGCGGTAACAAAGACCCTCGCGCAGACTCCTCGATAAAATGAAATGCCCATCAATAAAAGCTGTTTGCATTTCTGATAGATGTACAGATTGAAAACAATTTTTGACAGTTATTTTGAAAGTTATGGAAGTTCTGAAAGTTAAGAAAAAGGAAACTAAACAGTCGCAAAACATCAGCACTGGAAAAGAAGTCAGAGGGGATTCCGCGTCGGTCATCCATCCAAAACTAACCGCGTCCGACAGGGCTTAACTTCGTGGAACGGTTATAACGTAAATCCAAAATAGTTAGGGAGAAGTTTGCCGTGAGGACTTGAGAAAGAGAAGAAGCACCGGTACCGCCAATACGGTTGTCACGTAAATCCAAAATAGTCAGGGAGGAGTTTGCTGTGAGGGCTTGAGAAAGAGAAGAAGCACCGGCGTCGCCAAGACGGTTCTAACGTAAATCCAAACCAGTCAGGGAGGAGTTTGCTGTGAGGGCTTGAGAAAGAGAAAAAGCACCGGCGTCGCTAATACTGTTCAAACCTAAATCCAAACTAGTCAGGGAGGAGTTTGCTGTGAGGGCTTGAGAAAGAGAAAAAGCACCGGCGTCGCCAATATTGTTTAAACCTAAATCCAAACTAGTCAGGGAGGAGTTTGCTGTGAGGGCTTGAGAAAGAGAAAAAGCACCGGCGTCGCCAATACTGTTTAAATTTAAATCCAAACTACACAGGGAGGAGTTTGCTGTGAGGGCTTGAAAAAGAGAAGAAGCACCGGCGTCGCCAATACTGTTATTTCCTAAAATCAAACTGGTCAGAGAGGAGTTTGCTGTGAGGGCTTGAGAAAGAGAAGAAGCACCGGCCTGGCCAATAATACTGTTACCACCTAAATTCAAACTAGTCAGGGAGGAGTTTGCTGTGAGGGCTTGAAAAAGAGAAGAAACACCGGCGTCGCCAATACTGTTATTTCCTAAAATCAAACTGGTCCTGGCCAATAATACTGTTACCACCTAAATTCAAACTAGTCAGGGAGGAGTTTGCTGTGAGGGCTTGAGAAAGAGAAGAAACACCGGCGTCGCCAATACTGTTACCACCTAAATCCAAACTGGTCAGAGAGGAGTTTGCTGTGAGGGCTTGAGAAAGAGAAGAAACACCGGCGTCGCCAATACTGTTACCACCTAAATCCAAACTAGTCAGGGAGGAGTTTGCTGTGAGGGCTTGAGAAAGAGAAGAAGCACCGGCGTCGCCAATACTGTTTAAAACTAAATCCAAACTAGTCAGGGAGGAGTTTGCTGTGAGGGCTTGAGAAAGAGAGGAAGCACCGGCGTCGCCAATACTGTTACCACCTAAATTCAAACTAGTCAGGGAGGAGTTTGCTGTGAGGGCTTGAGAAAGAGAAGAAGCACCGGCGCTACCAATACTGTTAGAAATTAAAACCAAACTAGTCACGGAGGAGTTTACTGTGAGGGCCATAGAGATCGCAGCAGCACCAGCATCGTGTATCCCTGTTTCGCCAAAATTCACCTTAGTCAGGGACGACATGTCAAAGTGCTTACCTAAACTAGAAACTAGGCGAGTTTCAAGGCTGTCCTGGACACTTGAACATTTCAACAAACTCTCACAAGCTAAACTCATATATGATTTACTGTCTTGGGCAGAGCTGATTTTTTTAGCAATAACAATAAAGAACGACATTGCAGTTTCCTCACTCCGTGAGGCTATGATGCCACTCATGAACAAAAGGACCTGTCTCAGTTTATCCAAGTATCTCTTATCATCTACAACTGAGGTAAAGTCTCTTTCTTTGCTGATAACCTGAAACGCAAGGAAAAAGCCAGCAAAAAACTCCTGAAAGCTTTTGTGTAAAAATGCACAGCGCGTGCAAGGTTTGCGCTTGGTGCCACCTTGTTGAAAAGACAAGAATCCAAAATTGATAAGTTTGACGGTATCTTCGTCCTTTACAAAGTACGACTCTCCTTCGAGGAGGGATTCTAACGCGAAGCTGCCCAAAAGCAACAGTTCTTCCATATAACCTGAAATCAAGTCTTTATTGCTGCTTTTAAGTCTGTTTTTTTCTTCATATCTTCTCAACACAAAGACAACGATTTCAACGTACAACTCAGTCCTGCTTGTTGGAAGAACACCTTCGAAGTCCTCGAAAAGACAGCAGAGTAGAGCTGTATTGAGTGGATTCTTTGTTAACTCGCCTAGCGTTTCAAGTGGATGACCAGTAGTCAAAAAAGAATAGTTTGAACGTAAGATTCGTTTAATCAGCTCCTTAGCCAAGTGTTCCTTGCCTTTAAAATACTTTCGGATAAAACTTTCCGCATCCTCTTTAGTAAATCCTACAATCTCCCACAGGGTGTCACAGTATGGCCTTACTTTCTTTCCGACCTCATGTCGAGATGTAATGACAATGTGACAGCCTGGGAGGAGTTTACTCTGAACGAGCGAGTAGTACATGTCCAGTTTAAAGGAATCTGCCTCATCTAATGCATCAAGCAGTAGCAAACATTTGGCCTGATTTTCTTGGATGTATTTGAAAAAATTCTCCTTAGCCTGTTCGTCAATATCATCAGGAAGAAGTTGGTCGTCAATAGCTTCCCAGATGCCAGATTTAACATCGTTGCATCTAAGCAAGAGCAGCACTTCAATTGATGGAAAAGACGTGTCCCATTCATCCTGTTTATTTGCCCAGTCATACGCCAGTTTTTGTGAGTAGGTGGTTTTTCCCATGCCAGGTTCTCCTTCGATCAAAAGAATCCGTGGTTTCGGGCAATCAGGGTGAGGTCTAAAGATAGCAGTCATGTTGGTGATTTCATCATCCGTCAATGTTCCTCGTGTTTTTTCTTTGTTCACGATCTTCAGTCGGGTGAAAATCTCATTCAGGTTGAAATTAAGATCATCACACCATGGAAATGGTACCAGCCGTCCTTCACGACGTTTGTAAAGCTGACGAATCCTTTCTGTGATACTTGGCACCACTAGGAAATACAAATAAGATCGATTTGGTTTTATTATACTGTCATACAAGCTGTTCAAGCTCTGTATATCGTCTACGATACGCTTTTATGCTTTTGTAACCTTGCAAAACGAACGAGTTAAACATCGATATAGCCGACCTTTTTGGGATACCTATAATGATTCTCAATCCTAATTAAGAAGAAGCATGAATTATGTGAAGAAATATTTACAAAAACCCAACATAGGTTTGTCTTTGCGTCTTTTAATTATGTAATTTGCACTTAACAGACCCTTCCACGATTTTAAGTAACAGTTATCCATCGACACCAGACTACTGGATAGCGCCTTAAAACTTACCTTGTTTAAAACTTACCTAGTTTAAAGTTCAGAGCGAGCGAAGATATTCTTGAAACGTGACAAAGCCCGGAAATTTTACAGACTTTTGTATGTTATGGGGAGGGGGGGGTAATGAACTTGCTCTCTTCCATAGGAACGTCTGTAAAACTTCGCGTATTTTCGGAGCTATACCTTGGTTAGTTTTCACCAATTCACTCTTTAACTTAGCAACTTAAGAAGTGATTTTAAGGTCTTCTCTCCAGCCTAATGATCCGAATCAAAACTGTTAAAATACGTGGGAAGGTCCATTTTTTTTATGTTGAAATGGCTTGTGGTCGGCTCATTTTTTTTTTGGCCTAGAGCGCCGTGGACGACGTGTGTCGCACGCGAGCCCCACACGCAAATTAGTCACTCTCTCCAGTATCAATCTCCGTTTTCAGTCTCTGTTTGATGAGTGAATGTACTCATAAAAAACGCAAATCAAAGCTGTTTTGCGTTTGTAGTTTCCTCTAAGAAAAGGAAGCTTTATTAAAGCAGAAAACTTTACCATACCTCACAATTTGGAACAGTTTAGGGGTATTGCTGTTGGTCGCTTCAAAAGCTGTACTAATATAATGCGAACCACAAACTGACTATAGACTTATAAAGTGTCACAATTTGAGCGCATTGTTAGAAAAACATACCTGCTAGATGCTGCCGGGTTATGGATTCGTTTTGCTGAAACAAGTGGCCAGAATACATTCCCCTTTTGGTTTGCCTTGAGATCTGGTCATCGCACAAAGCACCTGTTGAAGAAGATCGTTGATTGAGATGCGGGCCGCATCATGTTATGATCTATTTCAGTTAACCTCGTCGTACTTCAAGGTCTCATGAGTACTCCACAAGACTGCAAGGTCATGAGAGTAGCTGCATGTGAATTCGTTTCAATTTGGTCATACATTCGCGGCTGACAGTGCCACAGAATGTTATGAAACGGCACAAACGGTTACCTTCTTCAGAATTTGGTAATTTTTATATGGAATTACCCATATTGATTTGCGATCTCATCGCAAAGACTTTCTTACTGCAACGTTAATCAAAATAGCTGTAGGCCGACAACAGCATCTTTGACTTTGAGTTGGGTGGATTTACTAACACATTTTCCTTAACAGACTGTGATTCGGTACAAAAGAATAAACTGACTTCGTCAACTCTGTCAGGGGCATGTGCGGAGCTGTACGCGTCTCATGATGAATGTTTTGCTCATTTCGCCCCATATAAGGTAATCCAAGAAAGTCTTCGATTCTGGATTCCACGCTGTGGATTCTGGACTCCATATACTGGATTCTGGATTCCTTGTCAGTTGAACTTGGATTACGGATTTTAATTGCTGCGGAATTCCGGATTTCTGGGCTGAGATCCGGATTCCAAGAGTTGAATTCCAGATTCCAAAGCCCAAAATTCCGGATTCCACAAGACTTCCCGCATTGCATTGGTGGGGCGACTCATTGAAACCGAAGTGAAGCAAAGAGTGGAATAGGTATAGTACGTCAGCTTTGAATAAAGAAGAACATTTTAAAAATTGAATGTTTATATATTACCTGCATGGTTCTCAGTTAGCTTCCGCTTCCTAGCACTATCGTGCTGAGCCTCAAAGAGACCATCCACTGAAAGAATCAGGCAAAAACAACATTAGCGTTTTGTGTCTCACTCTCAGTCGATACGCAATTTATAGCTATGGAAAGAATGTGTAATCTGAATTTTTGACCAGAAACGACACCAAATTCGGCCTGTAACTTCTGCGCCTAATCATCACACACCAAACTGACAAGAATTTATAATATACCTGAGTGATGAGGCCAAGTGCGAAAAACACTAGGATCACTTAAAATGTGTGAGACAAGAGATGCTGCCATCACACTAGCACAGACTTCCCATCTCTCTGCATTCGCTTGCTCACCATCCGCAAAATCAGCTATCCCTTTAACAATGAGCCACTCGAGTTGAGAATCAAATGCAGCCGTGAAAACACCTGAAATAAGGAATACAATTAGGAAGTGTTCTTTTAAGGAAATCAAGTTTTGTGGATTAAAGAAACTAAAAAATTAATTGCCTTGCGCATAGACGCATGTGTAATTCTTTACTTTCCAATAATTTTTGACAGATAAACTTTCACAAAAATGTCTTTCTAATTACAAACTGGACGTTAACTGACCAGAGACAAGAAAACACCATCAAGGTATGCCAGACCTCAACGACAGCTAAGTACGACAGATTATGATTTTCACGCCGTTTCTTTTGATTTGCTGACAGCAATTTTCTTACAATGAACACGTTTCATTCAATTACTTTATTGTATAAGTGAAAAAGTTCATTTCACATTCCGTTGGCGTTCCGTTAAGTTAAGTTTGCAGCTGTAAAGTTCTGCATCTTCATCGAAAGCTGTTTGTGTCCTACGTATTCAGACGATCCCAGATCAGATTTTAATACCACAGACATATGTTCCTATTTATTTTAGCGATGACATGTATGCTTCTTATTTAATTTTACTCTATAATTATTGCGCGAAAATGACGCCAAGAGTGCACCAGTTATTGCAGTCAAGTGTGTAAACACCTAATACCTTAAGACTTAAAGTAATTACCACGTAAGTATTCAAAATAAATCTTTTCGTCGCTCTTTCAATAGCCTGCGTGGCAGGCGCCAGATAGTTTTTTTTGGTCCGCTTTTTAGAGAGCGCAAGCAAAACACGCGAAGGGGAGAGGAGGCCTCCTCACCTTTTCTCCCGTCGTGCGCGCGTGTCCTCCCTTCGTTCTTTCGTTACAAAAAAACTGGCGTTTGCAAACACTCTTTCAAACACTTTTAGTAATACATGTATCCCAAAACGGATGTCGAAAAACTTACCTGCTGAGACTGCAAAGTAGTACGGCTAATAGTCCTTTTTCGAATTAAAAATTACCGCTGAATACAAACATTAATGACACATTCATACAGCGTTAGCCTCGACATAAAGTAAAATATTCACAAATTTCGGCAAGTAAGTGTTTGAAATCTGAGAAAACACAATAAACAGAGTAAAAAACAGCGGAATTTGTGAATACATTTACTTTTAGTGCAGGCTAACCCTGTAAAAAATGCGTCTTCACTTCTTTATTCAGCGCTCATATCGAATTCGAAACTGGACTCTAGTGTATTTCATAAATATTTACCAATCCCAGCCGTGAAGTTAAACGTTTGTGACGTTTTAAAGCATTCTATGGTACTGTTAACCGCACCTTTATGACCTCTTGAAGGATCTACAGCTACCCACATAACCTTGCGTCCTTGCGACGTAGGCTTTAAGCCTTTATACGACAACGTAAATTGAAATAGCTGCATGTATAAGAACGCTATTGTTCACAGCTAATGTGACATGCACTCACCTTCTCCTTCCATCTCTACTCCTGCCACGAGGGGGTGACGGTCGACAAGTTCCTTTCGGCGCCATTGAGCTCTGATCTGCTCTGGGCCACTTAGGAACTCGCCATTGCAGTGAACGTTGACCTGACGATCTTCTGGGTTTTTTAAAGGTGCCTGCCATCCATCAGCGCAGTTCGAGATTATTTTTGAGAAAAGCCTACTCACATGACTACTCATCCCAGCTGACTGCTCTTGGTCGCTTGTCACCACTTTGGATGCATATGTTGTTAGTTTGGCTGATACAACAACGTCCCCTAACTTAGTTTTGTCAGGATTGAGACCACTGCATACCCCAACAGATATCACGGCCTTGGGTTGTAAAATAGGGGCGGCATTCTTGACAGCAATCAGAGAGCTGCTTGGGCCAACAGAACCTTTATTACATCTTAGCAGAGCAACTTTTACTTTCTCTTCATGACTTTGAACGTTGTTGAAGTAAACGAAACCAACATCCTTGTAATAATATCTGTAAGGATCTTTTAGCTCATTGTAACAGGATAAGAACTCACAGTCCTTAACGGTTAACAGTAGAACATCAGCGGGTAGATCTGGCTGTTTCATTGTTGTTGTAACATCTTTTATGGATGGAAGACCAACAGCCAGCTGTGGTGGGCCAGCATTGCTGTCCTTTAAATTACAGCTACACGCCTTCTTTGAAGCTTCTGACATGTCAGTTTTCGGCTAAATTGCACTGGAGACATAAAACGAAAAAGTATAACACAATTTAGCCTTATACTATACACCCACTTTTACAACAAAGTTTTTCTAAGAATGTGGAAGTAAAAAATTATGAGCGTACATGTTTTAAGAACATTACTTACTCAGGCTAGGGTTTACATAGGATCATTTTGTATCACCTTGGTAAAACAAGCAGTGTACAGGAATTATCCTACAGTACGCGGAGTAGCCGTTTTAAACTTAAAACTGTACAAGAACTACAGTTAAGTCACAGTTGGAATCGCATGCTGTATATAGAGATTACGCTAATGAATATTCCCTTGCTCTACATCAAGCAAAGATGGAAGCTAATAAGACCTCTCAGTCCTTGCTAAGCCTTGGCTAAATAAATTGACATGTGATGCAACCTCATGATACAGCAAGAAAGGAGCCTCTGTCAGCACATGAGCTTTTTCTCAGTGAACGGTGAAAGCGACACACACAAAAAAACGGTGCCTTGTTTCTGCTAGCCTTGTGCAATGGTAAACATTTCAAAGGCAAGGAAAAGGGAGAATTGGCTTCGTCAAAATGTAAAGAGTGTGGATGCCCTTCATTTGTTGTCTCGCCCACAATCTCTATTTTCTATCTCCCTTTCAGATGCCAGACACGCGGGCTATGTGTTGTCTGGTTTAGAAACATGATGCCCACTGCATTCAGTCTAGGTTTTTATTGCTGCAAAAGGAAGCTAAAACTAGACAATGAAAAGCAATGAAAAATATACTTAAATTGAAAACAAGAACATTCCAGCTTCTTATGTCAGGGTTGCATGACTTCAATAGGAATTAGTTATTTGGTCATTTCTTTTGCCCTTTAATGAGCCACGCCAGAGTCCACAGAAGTACACCACACAGAACATGACATGATACTTTTAAACTAATTAAGCTTTTTCAAATGACATTGTGCACTCTCTTGAAGAGCCTTACAGTGTATTAAATTTCTGTTTTCAACCTCAACAGTCTATTAGAACATAGCTGTCTCTTAAAACCCAAGAAACAGGTCTTCCTTAGGCAGGGGGTCAGGGGAGCGCAGATAGTATAATGATTTTCAAGACTGAGTAGCTCTTTTTTTTCTGCAATGGAAAGAAAGGAGGATAAAAATAAGGAGAACACACTTGTCAATCAAGCAAAGTCATGCAAAATGCAAATTGCACAATCTGGGCTGGACAAAGAATCAGTGCAGCATCATTCACAGCTGACAAACGCCCAGCCAAACATTTTGTTTGTGTCCCTTCCTCTTATCTACCAAGCAAAAATAATACTTATTTACTAGGATTTCTGTAGTTTTTGAAAAGTAATTTCATGATCTCCATGATGAAGGATGAAGATTTAACCGAAAGCATACAAAAGGGATTGCAATGAGATGCAGAGGGCAGGGGCTAATTACATGGCATAAACGATCATTATCAACTGACAAAAGTACAAGATGTAGAAGAATAAAGGTACAATTCCAACGATAAATACAATTCTTCTTCTTCTTCTTCTTCTTCTTATTATTATTATTATTACTATTATTATTATTATTATTAGATTAATTATTAAATACAATAGTTTTTTTATGATCACAAAGATACACAAAGATATGAAAAAGTTTGACTCTAGAACAAATATCAATAATAATATAACCAAGTCTAAGTTTAATTTAATTAAATTACTTTAACTACTATAAACTATTGCAAGCCAGGTAGAGATTTTTTTCATATTGTTTTAAATAGAAATCAAACCCTTACTTGAAGCTAACATAAGCGCAAGTCAGGTGATTGATTGGTATTGTTTTAAATATAAATACCAGTTGAGAGGTTTATTGACATGTACATCAAGAATCAACACATAAGGGTACAAATGGTATAAATTTACATTATGATTGGAAATTACAATCTGTAATTAATACGTTTTTGTTTAACGGCAAGTGAATGTCCAGTGAGAGAGGTATATGGTTTTAATATGGTTTGTATTATAGAAGCACCAATAAATTATCTATGGCCTTTGTGCAGACTTAAGTTTTCGGGATTATTATATACATCAGCTAACTGAAGAACACAGGCCACTGCAATTATTAGTCATTTTTTAGAGTTTAAATCTTTTGTCTATTCATGTTACAGTACAGTACAGTATCTTTATTAAATGTCCACTATGTGGCTCTTCCGATTCAATTTACAAAATGGAAAGAAGAAAGAAGTAGGAGAAAAAGACTTATTTACAAATCTAATTATTAAAAATAAAAGGGAAAAATAGGAATAAAATTAACTTAAGAAATAGCTAAGATAATATATCGTATAGACTATATGCATATACATTACTTATTATTGACCTTAAAATACTCCATTTATGACATATAAAAACTGTTTTAGACATGCAATCAGTCACCTAGTTCTCGGTGTGACATAGCTCCAATTTGGCACCGTGCTTAAAACAGTGAGCTTTTATTTCTTGTGCTTGCGCTTAGCGAGTTCCAAGTGTTGATAGATCGATAGTGAAAGGAATGTTGTGCAGTGGCTGTCCTGCACATAGTAACGTCTAGATTTTCCCTTAATCTGGTATTATAACTATGGATTCCTGTTCTTTTATTGAAGTAGCTATTTAGGTAGGAGGGCGCAAGTCCAATCACTAGTTTGTACAACTGTGTGACATCGCGCACTAACAGCAGATGTTTAATAGAGGACCAACCCAGTTCCCGCAGGACTGGCGAGATATGGTCGAACTTCCTAGTATTAGTTAAAACTCGAGCAGCAAAATTTTGTACAAGTTGCCGTTTATGAATGTCCCGCTTAAAAGTGCCAGACCATACAGCAGAACAACAAAAGAGCTTACTAAAAACCAAGCAATTCAAAATGGTGAAAAGTACGGATTTGGAAAATAGATGCCTAACTTTGCTTATCTGACACAGACTAGAGATAAGGGACAAAGTCAATGTATTTTCATGTTCATTAAATGTAAGGTCCGAGTCTAGTATGATACCCAGATCTTTGACTATGGGTACGGGAGCTACGTTTTGGCCAAGAAAGGAACTCTGACATCTGAAATTTTACTTAATAGCTGTCGCATTCAAAACAAAATAAGTTTGGTTTTACTAGGATTGATGAGTAGCTGACCAGTACATCACCAGGCGGCGATGAGACGAAGATCTTCGGTGACTTTAGTCGGGCAGGAGTCAATGTCCTTGGATGAGAACGAAAGGTAAACCTTGATATCATCGACATATGACTTGACACTTGAAAATTTTACAACGGTATGTTTAATTCAAGTGCTGGAAGTTCAAATTTGTTTTTGTTCTTCAGCTGCATGACCTTTTCTTTCTGTGAACTGTACATTCTTTATGAAGAATAATAATGCCATCTTCTCTTTGTTTTGAAAAGCAGTGGGAACCCCGTTTCACCACTAAATTACTAAAAACCTGATTAAAAGAAATAAGCCCTTGGGAGGGTAATTAACAAAATGTCCCATTGCATTCCCCCATCAGTAATAATATTTGTCCCCAAAACAAATGGCCCAAATAAAAGAACAGTTTTTTAACAGGGAGTTTGTTTAACAAAAGTGCTTTTATTTTAGGAAGACACGAAAGGAATTTCACAGTTTGGGCCAGAAAATTTTAGTTTAAAATTTTAGTTTACAATTTATATGTTGAACAATAAAACAAACTGAATTAAGGTAATTCCTTTGTTTTGCACTGCGCAGCCTCTACTGCACATAATATGGCGACATCCAAGATGGCGGCGGTTCTTCCCACTAGCGCGAAAAGAACAAATAAGGACCACTTTTGCAGAGCCAAAGCTTATATTCGCAATAATAACGCCGCAGATCGACTGACAGCTTCCTGGTTTTCTGTCGAAAAACAAGAAAATGAAAGAAATGTGCGTGATCCCGAAGTCTGCAGTGGTTTTCACTTCGCGGCCGTCGAGTTGTGGAATTATTAAAATGTCCTGGCCGAGGCTTTGGATTATGGGGGCTGTGAAGCTTGTGGGACAGTTCTACGGCTCTCCAACTGCATTAACGAGCCAGAGTATCCGGCCTGGGATCGCTACTGTACATATGTTGTTCAAACTCCGAGAGGGGAGAGAAGAATATTTCGTGACCCACGAAACGTGACCCACCCACCATAGCACCAGAACCACGCGGGGGAGACCAGTCTGTGATCTAAACACGAAGTTTGCTACTTAATTCACATTTTGCTGTGTATAGAAACCAAACAAGCGAACATATGAAGAATAGGAATCAATAGTCTTTTCTTCAAGTTTCTTTGTCAAGCATTATTGTGCAAAAGCAAAAAAATCAAGCCCTAACTCACTGGAATTAAACCGAACGCTGGCGCTACAAAATAGTCCAAAATAGAGATTCATAACTGCAAAATCTCATCAAATCTTTACTTACCTCATTCCTTAGTATTTATTGTACTCTTTTCAAGTTTGAATTTCTGTGTTGGCGATATCAATCACATAAAAACAACCGAAAACAAGCTTGATCTCGAGTGCATACTTCGAACACGATGGACGTTATTTTGTATCTCGCCCCAGTCCCCGCCGCGCAAATTATCCATCGTGACTGCGATTTCAAAACCATGTCCACCTTTCACAGCAGTTTGTGAGGAAACAAGCGCAGTGACCCCCGATTTTTTTCCCAGGTATTTGCTAAGAACAGTCTAATAAAGAACATGTCTGAAGAAGAAAATGATTTTTTTGGAAAAATAGTTTCGTATTTGGTGTATTTGGGTCAAGGCGAGGACTTCAAGCTAACCACGGAACTGTCCGAAAAAGTGCAATATCCCCACAACCAGGCAATCAAAAAAAATTAAATGAAGCAATACTGTTTTTTTTGAATGAAAGAAGCTTTATGTTCAAAATAAAATTTCGTGTGTTTCAAGTAACAAAGACTTAATTTTGTAAGAAGGGGATTCGAATTTTTAACCCGCAACCAGCAAAAATACCCCAGTTTAAGAGCCTGCTGACGCGTAAACAAGCA